CAAGATACCCATAATGCTATGCAAAGGTACCCATAATATTATGCCAAGATACCCATAATGCTATGCAAAGGTACCCATAATATCATGCCAAGATACCCATAATGCTATGAGATGGTATTCATAATGCCTTGAATGGTACCCAAAATACTTAGGTACCCAGGTACCCCAAATGCTATGCTATGGCACCAATAATTCGATCAATTACCTTTTCAGGAGCAACGTCACATTGGCCAACTGGGACAGCGGTGAACCGAACAACGGACAATATCGGAGGGACGAACATTGCGTCTTGTTGAGATTTGATGGAAAGTGGAACKACTTCCCGTGTGAGACATATCCCTTCTCCTACATCTGCAAAAAARTGATACCACGGATATAAATTGCTGGGTTTCAATCAGCTGATAAAAGTCTTTCAATCTCATTATCTGCTCCAAATGGTGGTCAAACACTGAGCACCATGTGCTGTCAACCAGAAAGAATCCTATTAGGCATTCCGAAGTTGAGGGAAAAACTGGGTCGATTTGGCATTGGAGTGCATTGTGGGGCTGTTATAGGAGATAAAATAGACACCATCTTGGAAATATTCCCATAAAACAGTCCCAAAATGCACTGCGATGCAAACTCGACCCAGTTTCCCCTCCATCTCGGAATTGCTGATTGAAAAATGATGAAATTACGTGAGCTGGAACCTAAAATACGTCGTTATTCCTTTCTTTATAAATATTTCTTGAAAACAGTGTACAAAAAGTATATATTTATATTAAGAAATGCGATAATAGGCAACAAGTGTATAATAAAGATGTTCAATCTTAAAGATAGATTTCTTYGTTTTCTTGTCTAATTTTCCGCGGTTAAACTCGTGAATCCACATCTCAATCGATTTGAGGAAGAGAATCTAGGTATTAAACAACCCCCCCCCCCGTAAGTTGCTCTGATAAATCATACGTGCCCATTCCTGTCTTTGGGTTTTTTCCAAAGGTCATGTTATTAAATGACACAGGAAAACCGCTATTGGATTACAGACTAGCACGCACAACTTCCGCTATACATTTACAGAATTTATCAGGACACTAATTTCATGCGTCACCCAAGATAACATGTACATCAATGTGTGAATGACATGCAGTATAGTGTCTGTGGAGACCAAAATACTGTATAACGACACAACCGCCATCATCCACCACAGGAAGACCATATATATCATCGATATCTTACTATGTTCTCAAGGCACGAAACATGGTCGAGAGCTGCTGTTGTAATTTTATTGCTATCCTTGACTGATGCCGCGCTGGATAATCTCCAGGACAAGAGAAATGTGACATCAATGGACGCTGTGGTTGAGGCCAATACCAAAGGTAGGAATGGTTTATCAGAAAAATAAACCGATGCGAAAAATCTTGTTTTCATTTTGGAGACGCGATGGATATCGAAAGGGCCATAGATGAAACACCCCCGGCCGGTCTAATGGCATTGGTTCCAGGCCCGTCGCTAGGGATGGTTTGATTGTTCGAACGAATCCCCTCTCTCCACCTTTGTAGGAGTACGAAATGATGTTTAGCGCTATTTTAGTTTTTCAAGAAATGGCATAACTAAGATTGGTAGAAAAACGAACCTCCCATTTCAAGGTCCTGGGTTCGGTTATATGTGCTATGACATCTCGTAAACATATATTATCAGCTCATCTAATCACGACGTCTCTAATAAAACACCATATTTGAAGCCTAGCAATAAAAATATAAAGCATTTTGATTTCCATTCTCATTAAAAACACAAGTAAACTTCATCTTATACTTCCAGACAAGTCATGACACATCTCCCTTTGGCTTAAATTGGGATATTTTTATATCCTTTTTTGTACTCTATATCGTACTCTAGAGTAGTGTCAGTAAAACCTAAGGAGCCAGGGAACCATAGCGAACTTTGTATTTATTGTTCAAGTATTTTGTTATGTTGTTGATGGGTTTTTTATGGACAAGATTATTCGAATGGTGCAGATATCTGGTTGTAAATAATATGCTTTAGACCTCTTGCATGTCACGTCAAAGCAGCTCAATTTGCAGGACAAAACAAGAGAATTTCAATATCATGAGAATTGGAAACCTATTGTTATGTCCTCCAAATTGAGCTGCAGTCCGAAGTATTACAAGGGGTCTATTGACCTCTATTAAGATAACCTACTACCAATGCTCTTTTAAATGTTTTACATTCTGCGCAGAATCGTTGACCGGAAGAACGCAAGACGCATTAGATGACATGATTTTCCCCAAGATTACATCATCCGCTGGTTCCCAGGACTACTCGGCTGCTGCAGATGCGCGACACAAAATTTGGCCAAATGGAAAGATTTTTTACAAGATGAGCCGAAATATAAGTAAGTGTCGTTTGAATCATTTGTTGCGGTTAAAAGTACGTGGGATGGTTAAATTTGGAGATTACTTTAGAAAATTACGGAGAGACTATTGCACGCGACACGAGTGAAAAACGTCTGCGCATGCTCTTAATCCGTATGCACATTATTAGTCAAAACATAAGTAAATTTGACTTTCAAACATGCCTGATAAATTGGACTTCACAAAATGCCAAAACTTAGTGTCCATGCTTGAAACTTAAGGCTAATTCTTTCATATTGTGTTTGTTAGTACAGTATCTTGGTCTGACAAAAGGATACTCTCGAACTTTTTAGTATACTTGGAGGACACAAACATTTATTTTCTCACTCAAACTCTTCAAAATTCTTTGAAAACGTGCTGAAATGCACGCATGCGCAAACGTTTTTCTCTAGTGTCATTGCACGCAACTGTTGTGACGTTACTGTTGTTTCTAAGCATTTTGATTGGACGAGTAAATAGCTTGAAATGTGCCATGTTGTGATTGGTTCAAAACGTGTCGTCATGGTTGCAACGTGATCGTGCCCTTGAGTCATCGCTCTCTTGTTAATAGAGAATTTAATGCGAATGTTACGTCATAACCACTATCTTGACTGACGATAACAAAGCATTCCTCTTTAGTTTCTCTTGTTAGATCAACCAAGATGGCGGCTGTTTCATTGTTGCTCGTGTCTCTAGGGATTTTTAGTCATGCGTTTGCATACACTGCATATTTAAACTTGTGTCGTATTTTTCAAAGCACAAAAACCTAACTATGTACGAGTAATAAAAGCAGCCATGGCTGAGTGGGAGAGAGGCACTTGCATTCGTTTTATCAATAAAACCAACTCGAATGATGTGAAGGAATATGTATATATCTACTATGGAGCGGGGTAAGCATATGACACATTATATTAGAAATATATACCATTAATATTTGTTTTATACATCCATCCATC